CACATCGGCAGCAGAAGGGCTCCATCCCCAGCTATCTGGTCACAGGAACAGCGATGCGCACCGATGTCGTTAAAGAACCGTTCCAATTACTTCCCTGGGGAAAGAAGTGACTTGCAGCTTAACGTCCTGCCCGCGCGCAGCGGGAACACAAACCGTCCCAAAGAGCAGCTGATGGCTGCTGCTGCACAGCCCCTGCCCTGGGATGAGCTGTGGTTTGTTTTGTAGGGACAGCAGCTGGGTCCTGGGTCACAAGTACAGATGGTTGGAGCCTCAGGAGCAATTTGCTTTGAAAGTGACGTTGGGAAGAGATTTGCAGGAGGAAAAGAGCATCAGAAGCAAGGATGACTGATGGCTGCTGTTATCAGGTTGATCCTAGAGCGCTGCTATTGGCTTCGTTCTGCCATCTAGAGAGCATGGAGGTACTGCGATGGGGCTGGGGCGGCCAGCAGGGACAGGGAGGTGATCGTCCCTCTCTACTCTGACCTCGTGAGACCAATCTGGAGTGCTGAGTCCAGGTTTGGAGCCCCAGAAACAAGAAAGACAGAGCTGTTGGAGAGGGTCCAGAGCAGAGCCGCAGAGATGAGCAGGGGACTGGAGCAGCTCCCTACAAAGACAGGCTGAGGGAGCTGGGCTTGTTCAGCCTGGAGAAAAGAAGGCTGCAGGGTGACCTCACTGCAGCCTTCAGTACCTAAAGGGAGCCTACAGACAGGAGGGGAATCTTTGAAAGGGTTGATAACAGCAGGACAAGGGGAAATGGTTTGAAGTTGAGGGAGGGAAGGTTGAGGTTGGATGTCAGGGGGAAGTGGAGAGGAGCTGAAACAGCTGCCCAGAAGACCCTGAGCATTGGAGGTGTTCAAGGCCAGGTTGGATGGGGCCCTGGGCAGCCTGGGCTGGTGTAAATGGGGAGGTTGGTGGCCCTGCATGTGACAGGGGGTTGGAGCTTCATGATCCTTGAGGTCCCTTCCAACCCTGGCCATTCTGTGATTCTGCGATTGAAGGGGCACAGCAGATCCTGACCCTTTGCAGAGCCAGAGAGGTGCTGCACAAGCACTGTGTGACCGCAGCCGTAACACAACTACCAGCAGAAGCACAGCAGTCCACATTTAAGAGAATCAGAAGCCTTTCTCCAGGAATGGCAGCAGTAGGGTCAAAAGGTTGCAAACCTTAACAGACAACAGCTCACAGGGCCAGCCTGCAGGGGGCTGTGCTCCAATTACACAAAGATTTGTTAGTCTGATGGTTTCACGAAGAAACTTTCAAGCCATAGCCCTTGAGTTCTAGAATGGTCTTCTCAAACCCTATCAAAAGATCCCATCTTATTTAATCCAATATAAAGATTGGATGCAGTGCTGCTTCAGACCTCCACCAGTGGAGCCAGGGCATGATATTTATAAAGAAATCAGAACTGAGCTACAGTTCCATCTGTACTTCAATCTTTAAGTTCATCTACACCAAGAAAGGGAAGATTTCACTCTCCCCCTTGTTGACACAGAACATGAAAATATAAAGGCCAAAGCAGCACTGAGAAATACATAGTAGTAGGAAAAGAGCTTTAGATGAGAAGGAAAAATACCTTAAGATGGAAGGTACCACAACAAATGTACCACTCCAGTCACACAGTTGAATACAACAAACTGCTGGAGTTTGGAGGGCAAAGGAGAGACTGCAGGAGATGAAGATGAGCACCAGTGGGATTGAAAAAGGGATGTGTAAATGGAGAGCTAAAACAGGTGGTAAGAGAGGAGGAGACAAACTAGTCCTGTCTGAGACAAAAGGGCAAAATTAGAGTAAGTTGCTTTATTACTCTTATGATATCACCACATAAAACCAGCAGGTCAGGAATTATTTTAATGCACATCATTATGTGAATGGTCATACAGCAGTATCAGTAATTCATAGTGTTAACAGTTTGATGGTACCAACTTTAAAACAGCTGTTGTTCTTGATGAAATGGAGCACTTCTCAGCTGCCCAGTCGGCCCTCTGTGAAAACCCACTGTGTGCTGCTCCTGGTACTCAGCAGTGCAGTTTTAGAAGGGAGACCATTGGTACCTCCATGCTCCATGGTGCAGCAACAAGACTGCAGTAACAACAGGGACATCCAGGTCTGCTCGCAGTTAATGCACCCCACAGCTGTGGAGGGGGAATTCTGAACCTAAGAGCAACCCAGGTGATCCTCCACCAAACTGGAAGTGCTTAAGAAGTGTCACTGCTACATACAAAGAGAGTTCCATCTGAGGGCAGGCAATGTGCCTGCTTGCAAAGGAGCCTTAAGTAGCACAGGGGGTTTGGGTGTTTAGTTCAATCAGCTTTTAAAAAGCTTGATCAAAAAGTTTTAAGGAATTGCAGGGTATTAATTAGTGTGCTCTGTAGAGGAACAGATTGATCCCAAGAGCATGAGAGGAACTGAGCAAGAATATTTACAGGGCTTGTATCAGAGAGACTTCATGCTTCGATTCAGTCTCCCAGAGAGAAAACTGCAGAGGAACTCTCCTAGGGAGAACACAGCTATCCCTGCAACAGTTTGTACTGGATTTCCTGTCTTACATTGAAATCAAGAAAAAACATCCTTGCTTTCAAAACCAAGCAGGTCCCCAACTCCCATCTCACCACTACAGCGAGTGCAGTAGCACAGAAAAACCTTTCCACCTCGCAAGCATTCAGATAATGCCCAGAACATTGCATCTATTCCCCACTTACTGTCAAGTTGTCATATTAAAAGTGCTTTTTTTTTTTCTTTTTTTCTCCTTTTTGGGAAATACAATAAGCAAACAAAACCAAAGAAAAATAAGGTCTCTTGAAAAGAAGACTGATTTTACTGAAGGTTCCCAAGGCATTTACTCTCCCTGAGGCACTGTAATAAGCTTCCGTGGGGTATTTAGCAGCTCTAAACAGAGCTAACAGAAGACGAATGAGAATATTTTGATGAGGACACAAGAGGCAAATCTCCTTGATAGGTGTTAATTCAAACACATTCATCAGTCAAGGGCAAGAGAACCACCTTTTCCCTTAGCTGCTGGAAGGCACCATCCGCTCCACAGGCGTACAACGAGCTATTTGCTCTCAGGCTTTTTGTTATAAATGAGGAAGTCAGAAATGTCGTGCCACACGTTGCTGTCGTCATACAGGTAGGTCATGGAGGCCTGCAGAGAAGGCTGCAGGGTCTGCCGGTGGTACTCAAAGAGCCAGAGAACTGTTCCCCACACCAGAGCAGCAACAAGCGGGAAGGGATCCTGCCTGGGCTGTGGGATGCAGCCCTTCTCCACCGCCAGGCGAGACAGGCCAAACAGGATGCGAGACAGCAGGTACATAATGATCTGCACGGAGAGAAAAGCCAGAGAACATCAGGAGAAGAGCCTGGCTGGCAAATCTGATCAGAGAGAGCGATTCAGCTGTGATAAGCTGTGCAAGAGAGGCAGCAACAGTTCATCTCGTGTAACAGCAAACAGTCTGTAGGTTCACACATCAAACCATCTCAAACTGGAAATGTTTGTGCCTTCCCTGTCTTCTCCAAGTCCTACTGCCATGTAAGTGCTCTAGTTTAGTAAGCAAGAAATTACACCTGACGCAATAAATCTTTGCAGTTGCAGATCAGTTGCACAACTTTCATCAATGCTACCTCAGATGCTGCTGCTGATATCCACAGAGCAGCCTTGTTAGCCTGCCAAGATACAAACCCAGATCTCTGGGCGCCACCTGAAACCCGACGGAAGGTATGGTCTTAGAGAAGGGGGGTGTGCAAGTGGAACACTTGTGATTCACCTCTGCCTACATGTTTTATTGACCCACATTAAAACTGGTAACAAGCAGCTCCAAACCAAGCTTTCCCTGAGCAGCTTTTGTCAGTTTACCCCATTTAGTCAAGTGTAGCTCTGCAACCAACCGTTCTCCACACACAACAAAGCTCAAGCTTGTGGGTTTAGCTCTGCAAGCAGGCAGATTGAGCACAGTTACCACAGGGCAGAGGATGGGTGGGGTAACCCCACAGCTTTGGGTTGCCAACCTGTCCTCCTAGATGCAAGTGCAGCTCTGGAGGTTCACCAGGATGTTTAGCTCTCAAACTACAAACATCACCATGGGGGCACACAACCACCTCCAGTGTCTGAGCACAGAACAGTCAAAAAGAGAACTCTGTACAATGAGCTGTACTATAAAAGCAACGCTGCACAGGGAGAAATGGGCCAGCCTATACCAACCACTTCCTGGCACAAAACCCACCCATCTGTTAGTCTTTCTGTCAACCAAACCTTCAGCAGAGACATTTACCTGGCTGTTGATGGGATTGTTCTCACCGAACACTAACCAACCCCCAATGCAGGCTGCAAAGAAAGAATGAAATGGAATTTTTTTCCCCTGTAGTCGGGACTGCAACGCCATCAGCCCCTTGTAGGTGAACACAAAATACGCCAAGTTCCGGGAATGAGTGTACGTGGCCTGAGCAATCGATTTCAATTTCTCTCTTAAACTGAACAAAAGAAACAGAAAATTAGGAGAGCAAAAAGGCAGCATTGCCAGTGACCAGCCCGGATCTTACATGCCTCCAGCCTGCCCACCCACATCAATAGCTCTGATACCCCCCCAAAAACATCTCTAGCTTTGTGAGGGAGGAGGGATCACTGACTCTGGGTCACTCACCAGCTCTCCTCACACTCTGCATTTGTCCAATTCTACAAACAGCCAACCAGCTTCTTTTTTTTTTTTTTCTTATTAAGTTCAAATTTCTGGATAACTGGAAAGAGCCACAATGGGCACTGGTGCAGCTCTGCCCCCTGTATGAAAGCACAGACAGGAGCAGATGTCTTTAATGGCATCTGCTAATTTCTCACCTGTCCATTGCTCCTCAACAACCACTGCATGAGTGATTTAAGTTCTTTGCTATGAGAGTGGTGAGGTGCTGGAACAGCTGCCCAGAGAGGCTGTGATGCCCCGTCCATCCCTGGAGGTGTTCAAGGCCAGGTTGGATGGGGCCCTGGGCAGCCTGGGCTGCTATGAAATGGGGAGGTTGGTGGCCCTGCGTGTGGCAGGGGGTTGGAGATTCATGATCCTTGAGGTCCCTTCCAACCCTGGCCATTCTGTGATTCTATGATCAAGCAGTATGTCCATCTGTGTGCACACACAGGTTACCCTGCTCAACACAACAGTGTGCAGTGAATGCGTCTGACTTATTTTCTGTTTTCTAAACGGGGGCTCTACAGGAGCAAGGAATAACTAACGCTTGGATGGAAGCAACCCAGGGAGCAGTGCAGAAATGAAGAAGCAGGGCAGTACCTTCCACTCCTGAACAGGAAAGTCATCACCAGGGCATGCGGAGCACGAATTTTTGCTCCATACCTGCAAAAGCGAGAAGCAGAAAGATGTTTTTTGCACCAAGCTATCAAACGACCACAGATCCATTCCACCGACAGCCCGGAGGTGCTGCAGGTGCGTGCCGGCCGTTCTTTCCGGGCGGCCCGGCATCAGCACAGCGCCGCGCAATGCCGGCACACAGCAGCGGGCACGAAGAAGCCGCTCAGCCCCGGCGGCACAGCCCGCCCCGACCCCGGAGCCTTTCCGCCCCAGCCCTCGCGTGCGGGCCCGGATCTCGCAGCGTTCCCCGCCGCCCAGCTCACTCACACGGCCCCGTTGCGGAAGCCCTTGAGGACGGCGAGCGCTGCGCGGTAGCGGCGCTGCAGGAGGAGCGCGTTGATGGCGCGGAGCAGCGCAGACGGCGGAGCGGCGCCGCCCGCCATGGTGCGGCCCGGCACTCCGCAGCGCTCGGCGCGCTCGCTTCCGGGGGGCGGGGCCGCGCCCGCAGCGCGCACGGGCCGCCTGGGCTGTCCGTCAAAGCTCTCCGCCAACAGGCGGCGACATCCAGCTCGCCCTCTCGTGCCGGCAGCCAACGGCTGCCCCCGGGGAGAGGTCGGTTCCGTGCTCTGCACGGCCGGCCCTGAGGGTGTCCCGAGGCGCTCCCGACCCTCGGCGCAGCGCCGGCTGCCGGGATGCCGTCGGCGCCCTCCCCGGTGCCGTGCTAAAGCTCCACCGGGCGCTTCGTGAGCGGCGCCGTTCCCGTCCAGCTGCCCCCGGCCGCGCACCGCCCGGGGGGAGCGGCTCGCTGCCCCGCTCTGCCCCGCCGCGCGCCCCGCTCCCGGCCCGGGCTCGCTCCGTGTGTGGAGGCCGCCCCCTGGCGGCGGGTGGTGCCGCCCCTCCCTCCGCCTCCCCTCCCTCCTCCCTCCATGCCCGCTCCGGCTGTCGGGTCGCGGCCGCCCCGGCTCCAAGATGGCGCAGGCGATCTTCGAGGCGCTGGAAGGTAACGGCGGTGCCGCTCCCGTCCGACCCGGCCCCGGGGTCCCGCGGTTCGAGGCCGCCTCCCTCCCCCCCATCCCAGCGGACGGGCGGTGCGAGCGGCCCCGTGCGGCGGCTGCAGGGGCGGGAGCGCGGCCGGGCCCTTCCGTCACCTCCGCGCCTCCAGGCTGCCGCGGCATCGCGGTGCCCGTCGGTTATCGGGGCGGCCCGCCGCTCCCCTCCCCACGCCGTTCCCTTTCGGGGCCTCCCTTTGCCCCCTGTCTCCTGGGCACCCCTGCAGCTCGCCGCTTCGGGCGGGCGCTCCTGTCCCTGCACAACGCGTCCCCTGCCGTCCCGTGTCCCTGCGTTCTGGGGCCTCCCCATCGCCACGCTGTCCTTTGCCCGTTGGGACAGCGATGTACGATAGACACGCCGAGCCCTGGGGCACCCAATCACCCAGCTGGGACACCGTCAGCACCCTGCTGCCAGCACTCTGGCTGGTCCCTCTTCCCCAGGGCTGCAGGACCCGGCCCCGCTGCTGTTCACGCTTCCCTCCTGCCCCCAGCCTGCTGCCTGCCCCTATGTGTGTGCAGATGTTGGTGCACGGGGCCGTGCAGTGTGTGCAGGGCTCTGAGGCATGGCCTGCACCTGGCTACACAGGGCTCTGTGCTTGGGGTCAGCCTGCTGCAGAAAAGCAGCATCTTTTTCCCTGATTGGATTCCATCTTTCCCTTTGACATGTTGTCACCCAGGCCATGTATCAGCATCATAACACTGCTGTGCAAACAGCACCTGCGGCCGCAGCAGCAGCAGGATGAGCAAGAACAAATATTTCCCTCAGTTTGGTCAGCTCTTGGTGCCTTTGACAGCACTTTGTGTGTGACCAGGTGCTTCATTTCCTTTCTGCAATCAGCTCCATGCTGTGTTGGTTTTGTTGCAGAGCTCATGAGGCCAAAGCATCTTTGCAAGTTGTGTTTGTGTTTGTTTTTCTTTCTTTTTCCCAGCTCTTGATAGCTGGACCTATTTGCTTTGTTTTGCTGACTGGATTGATTACAAGCTGACGGTGACTCAGTGTCGTGCTCAAGGCAGTCGTGTTCCCAGTGAATGCCATGGGGCAGGGACACCTCTGCACTGCCACTGCAGCCCTTGGAGCTGTGTTGGCAGGAGCAAACCAAAGGGTTTACTGTGTGAAATTCAGGGCTTGAGGTGATAGGAGAACCTGGGTGAAGTGGGTGGTTTTGTTCTGGTCTCTAAAGTGAGAGAGATTTGAAAGGAGAGGGAAATAAAAGCCCAAATCAGCAATCCTGGATTGTTATCCTGGCTTCTCCAAATCTGTGTGTTTCTCTCAGGTTTGGGAAGGCACGCTGCTGCTGGGAAGGCACAGATGGCTTTTTTTTTTAAGGTTTCGTGGCTGAAGAGCATCCTGCAGGCTGTTATCAGTGCAGAACTGCTCCATGGCCGTCTCATGGAGCTGCAGCAGCACAACCAAGCAGCTGTGCCTGCCTGCCTTTGTTGGTTACTAAACCTTAGATGTTTCCCTCTGTGTTAAGTCTGTCATTGTGAGTTTAACTTGTGAAATGCAGGGACACCCTGTGCATCAGTGCAAATTGACAAAAGAACGAAGAGCAGTTATTTCTGCTGTCTTGGGCTGCTTTGCTTTGGCTGTGTGTGCTGCTGATTCTGCAAGCAGGATTGAGGCCACCGTGCAGCTTTTTCACTCTGAAGATCTGTCAGTGAGCTAGAAATAGGGCTGGGCACACCAAGTGCAATAGGTGCAATGGGAATAATTCTTCATTTCCACTCTTTTTGCTTATTCCCCAAATATACTAAAACTGAGCATTTAATCCCCAGTTTTCTTTTGTCTCCTGCTAGCTTACTCCCTCTGCAAAAAGGCTGCTCTGTTCCCCTCACTGCTCTGGATGTGTCAAGCAGAGCCTGCAGTGTGCTTTGTGTGCTTTGCAGTTGCCCAGGAGATGCTGTGCAGAGCAGGAGGTGTGTTTGAAAGCCGGTGTGAAAGGATCCAGCGGCGTTGTGCCTGCAGGATGGGATGCAGCACTCTGCAGAATGAAGGCTTGCAAAACTGGCCCTGCAGCTCTGCTGTGCCTGGCTGTGATTTATGTGACAGGGCTCCCATCGGTGCGGCAGCGTGATCTGCTGCTTTCCAGTAGCTGCTACCGCCCTCCGCCCCCTGGCAGCTGCAGAACAGTGCTCTGCTGTCTGCCAAGGGCACTGTGCAGCGGTGTGAGCCCTCCTTGGTGCAGGATGGTTGATGGAAATGGTGCTCGTGGAGTCTCACTGTTGTTGGCTTCGCGCTGGAGAAATGGGTGTTTAGAATGTCTTTAAAACGTGTGACCTCTCAGTGGGGCCTCTGCTCACCTGCACCGTTGGAAAATGATTGGACTGGTGAATTTTCTCTTTAGCGCAGCACATAATCCCAAGGTCCAACTAGGTAAGAGCTTAATTTGGCAGAGATCTTGGAGAAAATGTGCGTGCTGGGCTCGATGCGGCGGCTGTGTGTCTCTGGCCTCGTTCCCTCCGTAGGTGAGCAGTCCCCATCTGTATTTAGCGGGAACATTTTAGAGCCTGTAATGAAAAATATTTGTGCCAGGCCAAGTGAGCTGGTTCTTGCAACAGTCTGGGCGTGCATGCACCCATGGAGCCTCACAGGAGATGGAAATAAGAGCGTGTGACTGGCAGCTCGTGAGGGAGAGGCACTCATGGAGAGGTGCAGAGAGTGGAGGGAGCCGTGGTCCTGCTTGCTGTGTGTCCCAGCACTGAGTGGCAGCCAGTGCTCCCCAGAGCTCCTGCTTAATACTTCCTGCTGTATCTAAATCCTCCTGTAGTTTGTAGGCCTGTGTCAGATCAGACATGGGAAGGCTGATCCTGAGAACAGGGAGGTGTTTTAGGAAAATATCTTAAAGAAGCTCAGGTGTGGGCTGAGTCCAGGATGCTGCACACCAGGCATTTTGTCTTCAGCAAGCTTGATGGCTTGTCTTTGCAGTATCCTGCCGTGTCCTCAGAGAGAGCCACCCAGGCTGCTGTAATGGGCAGCCCATGACTTCCAAGTGTCTGCCTTGTAGCTATCTAAGCATCCTTCCTTGCTGGTGGGCATCTGGAACCAAGCCCTCTTTCAGCTTTCCTTATACTTCTTCCTTTTCTTCTGCATGTACCAAAGCTGTAGAGACACACAGGAGTCTGTGGCTTAAGTGTGAATCTTAATGCTGTGGAGCATGGTGAGAAGGTGAGGGAGGCTGTGCAGCAGAGAACTTCTCTCCATGACTTGCTTTGAGCGAGCTCCTGGTCCCCGGGTGCTCCATCCCTGTTCATGCCATGCTTGATTTACCACCTGTGCTTGTGTCTTCTTCAAGGAATGGATAATCAGACGGTCCTGGCTGTGCAGTCCTTGCTGGATGGTCAAGGAGGTGTAACAGATCCATCTGCTCAAAATGTCAATGCAGCTGCCCCCATCCAGCCCATGGGTGAGTTCTGGGGAGCACAAGTGAGGTGTGGGGGCCATGGGCTGCAGGTCTGCTCCAGTCTGCTCTTACGGCTGTCAGAACAGCCAGCCTGTCCGTGTTGGGTGCTGCTGTGAGTGTTGGAATCCCTCAGCAGGGCTGGGCAGAGCAGGAGGAAGGGTCAGTGCTGAAGCGAGCAGAGATGCTTTTGGGTGGTTTGTGGCAAGAGTGGCCTGTGTGTTCTGGATAAAGGTGGGGAGGGAGGGAACAGCTGCTCCTTGCCACTACCTGTATTTGTATTTTTTAATTTAATGAGCCGTTTCTTATCCTCTGGGGATGTATTCAGTCACTGGGTACCTCATCTGTGTGAGTGGATATGGGAATAGGTGGTTGCATGCAGAAGCCCACAGTTTTCAGCTAAGGGCGCTCTGACTTAGGTACTGAGTTGGGTGCTGGGTTCCACACATGCTGCATGCTGACAGTTTGGCTGGCAGCAGACCCAGCAACCAGTGCAGTGGAATGATGCTGTGAGTCTTTACCTGTGAGTGTGTTTATTCTTCCAGCCCTTTTTCCCCTTGTGTGGGCCAGTCAATAAGATCGAATTAAACAGTGAATTTCTATGTTGCCCTGGGAGAAAGAGAGAAAGTCTTTTGTGGTGGCCAGGATCTGAGTTGTGCCCCTGGAGAGGTTATGGTCTGCATCCCCAAAACAGATGGGAGTTTCTGTGAGCTTCAGGATATTTTTTTTCCAGAGGCTTGAGTGCAACTGGCTCAAGTGAAAACTGCCATGTGCTTATGTGATTTACTAGTGCTGCAAATTTCATGTAGACCCGTGATGACTGGGTTCTTGTCTTCTGCCTCTGACATCAAGTAGAGGCACCACAGACCAGCAGTGCTCCTGAGAAGGGGATTCAGGCAGAAGTTGCAGTTGACTGTGTGATTTGATGCACCTTACTTCTCATCCTTTGTGTAACCTGAGTAACAAAGTCTGTCTCATCTGGGGTAAAGCTTTGGAAGAAGCTCTGTAGACTAAAAACAGAAAGTGCTACAGGAGTGAGGCTGGATCGTGCCATTGGGATGAGAAGGCTGATGATGGGATTCAGCTCATCTCAAGGAGACAGCATGTCTTGTGTTTGGAAGCACAACCGAGACAGGTCTCGTTCACATTACTTGTATTTAGGGAGAATTTAGGATTATGGAAGGGCAGTTGCACCTGATATCTCCTGATGATATCCTTGAGATGCCAAGGTATGTTAAGTGTCTGTTTTCTTGCCTTTGCTGGCTATAGCTCGACTGTAGCACTGGGGAAGGCCTGCAGCAGTGACCTGTTTCTCTAATTGCAGATGATGAAGATGTGTTTCTGTGTGGGAAGTGCAAGAAGCAGTTCAACTCCTTGCCTGCCTTCATGACCCACAAGAGAGAGCAGTGCCAGGGAAACACCCCTTCCCTCTCCACAGTCTCGCTGGCCACCAACAGTGTGTACACCCCTTCCATCACATCGGTGCAGCAGGCTCCGAGCACGAGCCGACAGGTACCATGCTGTGAAGCAGCAGGCTCTGCCACCGTGCTTGTGGGAGTGAGAGACCCCTAGGTGATGCTTTTAGGTCTGGTAATGCCTCATAATTCACCTCTCTCAGCTGTGGTCCTCTTAGCTTTTGACCTCCCATTAAACTTGCCTGGTCCTTGCAGCAAGGTGTCCTTCAGAGTGAGCGTCTGATACACCTTTCTCAGGCTGGAGGAGGTTCTGCTCAGGACTACCAGGTCTGCAGTGTGTTTGGGTAATAATAACTGTGCAAAGCTCGGTGGGAAAGGCTCTCACTGGCTCATGGTCTGAAGAGAAAGGCAGGTATCTGGCAGCCTCACCCCTGTGTCCCTCCTTTCATCTCCTGCAGTTAACCCCATATCACGTGGTGTGTTGTGCAGTAAGAGAATATCCTTACCTCGTAGCCCTCCTTCCCAACAGATTATCAGGAGCAAGTCCCTTGTGCAAGACACATGCTGTGCTTGCAGCCATGGTGGTTTCTGAAGTTCTTCAGACCAACTGTTATTTTTTCAAGTTTACTCAGTGCCAGTGGATGGTGCTTCCCAGCAGCAAAGTGGGAGCTCTCATACAGCAAACTGTTTGTTTTCATCCATAAAATAAGGACATCCACACTCCCTTCCTCTTCACCATCTGCAGCCAGAGCAGCCTCTGTCTTCCTCCAACTTTCATGGCTGTCAGGAAATATTCAGTAAAGACATGATCTTGTCTGTGACTAGTTTGTCCTGTAAAGCTGGTTATTAACCACTGATTTGAACAGCAGCCAGTGACCTCTCCCTTGAGCCACTGTCATCTTTTATACCATTTTTTGGAGAACATTTCTGGCACTGCTTTATTGTTACAGCTAGAAACTGCCATGGACTCAACAGGAAGCTGTAGGTAATTACTTTGGCTTCTCACATCCTCTGGTCAGCAGATAGAAGAGGCTCAGAGGCTCAGCAGTAAGCCGTGTCACCATATTTCTGAGTTTATTGTGTTGTCTTGTTGCTGGTCGACAGTGCCGTGTTTATTTTCTTGTAGCAAATTTCTACATACATCACCGTTCCTCCGTCGCCTTTGATTCAGACCCTGGTGCAGGGGAACATCTTGGTTAGTGATGAGGTGCTGATGTCAGCCATGTCTGCTTTTACATCCTTGGACCAACCCATGCCAGCGGTGCAGCCCCCAGTGCAGGTAAGGGACACGTGTGGGCTGAAGGGCTTTCGCTTCCTGGGACTGTGGTTGTGTGGCAGGAGAATGCGGGTGGTTGATCAGAGCCCAGAGATCTGCTTTGATGCAGAGTGCTGGGCACCTTCCCCAGGGGACAGCCAGGCTTGGGAAGGGGCATTGGGTAAATGACAGAGTAACTCAGGGCCTGCTTTCTGCTGGTGTCCTTGTTGCTGGATGCTCAGATCTTTTAATGAGGAATCCCCAGCTTTCTGCTGCACTCCTGTGTAGTGGTTGGTTTCCAGAGCCCTTATCAGTTTGCCTCACTGATCTCTTTTCCTGGCATGGTTGTTCTGGGCTTTCCCTAAAGCTGTCCATGCTGGATACACTCCTCTTGCCCTGAAAATATCCTCTGTAACCACAGGGTTTAAAAACAAAGCAACAAAACAGTGGGGTTTGAATGCTTAGGTTCTGGAGGAGGCGTTGTCTACTGCCAGTCCAAATCAACCTTCTGTAAGTCAGTGAAGTCTGATCCAACCTGATGTTTGGACAGTGCTGCTTTGCATCAAGACACCGTCACTATTGCAAGTGCCCTTTTGGTTTGGGACATGGGAGCGTGTGTGAAGAAGCAACCCCTCCAGCTTTTTGCTGCTAGAGCAGTGCTGTGTTCTCAACATCTTGTCTGTCTTTCCCTCTTCTGGTTTTAGAGCGGCTTGAGTATGCATGCCGGGGCTGGTTACCTCTCACAGCCCCCTCCTCCTCCCCCACCACCTCCTCCACAGCCCCCACCACCCCCCCCACCAAGCCTGGGGGCTCCGGGGCAGCCCAACACCGGCAGCGGTGTGGTTGAAGTGTACAGTGCTCCTGCAGCCATGGCAGCAAACAGCTCCGTGGAGATCCAGGCGCTGGGGATGCAGCCATACCCAGCCATGGAGGTAAGGCTGTCCCCAGGCTCTCTGTACTCCTGGACCTCTTCTAGCAAGCCAGACAGCAATGCTGCTTGGGCTAGAAATGTTGAATTAGCAACTGGGAGGTTATGCTAGGTTATCTGAGGGATTATTTCCTCTGGAGGAAAAAGTACTGATCAGAAAGATGTCAGCAAAACGAAGGGGATTCTGAGAACTCAAGAGGGTGGTGAGGCTCTGGCACAGACTGCCCAAACGGTCTGTGGAAGTCCCATCCCTGAAGGGGCTCAATGCCAGGCTTGGCGTGGCCCTGTGCAGCCTGATCTAGTGCCTGATGTAGTGGCTGGCAAACCTATTCACAACAGAGTGGGTTGGAACTGAATGATCTCTAAGGTCCCTTCCAACCCAAGCCATGCTGTGATTCTGTGAGCAATAAAGAAAGCTGCAGGGCAGATGCTGGCTTCCTGCATGTGTTGAAAAAGGGCTGAGGTGAAGGAGTTGTCTCAGGGGTGCAGAGCACTGCACTGTACATTGCAGGCTTAAATGGAGAGAAGAAGCCAATCTGAATCTCAATGAGCTTGACAAAGGGAGCTTCTCCTAAAGAGAGGCACAGGCAGGAGTGGGTTTAATGGTGGATCAACTTCCACAGCTTCCATGTTTGCACTGACGTTCACATTCGAAACTACTGGGTGTGATAGAGGTTTGCCAGCCTTACCTTTGTAACTGGCTGCTGATCTGCAAGTGACAGTGTTCAGAAATGGATGGGCATGTTGGATACTTGGTACTTAATACTAATTTATCAGGGTGGGAAATAGGAATGCCCTTAAGCCATATTGCTCTCTGCTGGTCTCTGTCCTTTTCTCTAAACATCCATTTTTGATGTGCTGATGTAAACAGCTCCATTTTGCTGCCTGAAGTTTTCTTGTGTTTTCCTTCCCATCTGCAGTCCTTTTGGGGCAGGGCCTGGAGGTCCCAGCCTTCAGGGTGCTGTGGGCCTGCAGGCTCAGCGGTGATGGTGCTGGTCACCTGCCCTGGAGGAATGAGGAGCTATTCCATGCACTAGGCATAGGCGGGCTAGTAGAGCTCTCCTTCAGTATTTCTCTGGTGTTCTTTTCCTGCTGTAATAAATCTTGGATGCTTTGTGATGTTCAGCCAGAGTTTCATAGTGTGCACAGTGTTAGTTTTAGAGAAACATTGATGAATTGGTGAACCAGAAATTTATTCAGTGTGGCAGGAAAACTCAGCCAGTCTAATAACCTGACGTGGCAAGTGTTGCTGGAGATGGAGGATAGTAGGAACTGTGCTTAGCACAGTATTGTGCTGTATAGCAAACCTCTTTCCACTGGTAATGGAACTCTTGCAGGTACCAAGTCAGTGTGTGGAAAGTCCTGTGTACCCCTCTCCCCCTGTGTACAGCCCTGGGAAGCAGGGGTTCAAGCCCAAGAGTGCCAGCGTTCCCACACCTTTGACCAGTGCAGGAGGAGGCAACGTGGTTGGTTTTGATTCCACCTCAGCTGTCAAAAGTAGACGTTCCAAAAGTGAGAGTGGGCTGCAGGAAGGTAAGTGTCCTTATGGCAGGTACCCTGTGCTAACCTGCAGGCCACCGTGCTCTCAGGGTCCTGTGTGGTGGCACTGACTGTGCTGCAGCTCCCTGGGAGGAGCACCATCACTGCACAAGGCTGTCAAGTGCAGGTGAAAGCGTGGGCAAGCTTCTTGCCTGTCCCCTCTGTGTACACATGAAAGGACAGTGCTGTGCAAGCACAGGCAAACTTGTGCTAAATCTCTGCAGCTTCATGCTGATTGGATCGCACTTAAAAATGGGGGATCCTGCAAAATAAGGTGTTAGAGCTTGGTCCGTGTTACCTGAGGCAGTAATGCCCAGCTGCAGTTCCTGTGGGCCAGATGGGAGAGGCTTGATTTCAAAGGCTGTAATATCAAGGATGCAGCAGAGCCAACCCTGTGTGTGTTTCAGTGCCTGTGAATGACACGGGAGAGGCAGGACAGTGGCACAGCAGCCATGGGACAGAAGAGCGTTAGATCCTCTGCTGGCTGAGCCTGCTTGCTAATGGTGAGGTGGATGTGTGCTCACAAGCGACAAGGGAGGTCCCAGGCATGAGATGGAGGAAAGCCACGTGGCCAAGATTGGACCCACAGAGTTAAAATGTTATTTGCAGTGGTGTGAATGATCAAGCAGCTCTCAGAGTCTCCTTAGAGCAGCCCATGGTTCTGCTGTTTTCCATTTGTAGCATGGCTGGAAGGTTCCCTGGAGTGGTTAAAGCCCAAAGGGAATTCCCTGCCTCCCACCTTCTGCTGTCCTCAGCACTTACTGAGCTAGCTCAGGCTATGTTTAATAGGTGCTTGTTCCTTCACCTCTCCCCTCCCCGATCTGTTCAGGCAGTCCTTTGTTCTGGTTCTGAAATGCCTTTGGTTGAAGGCCCTGCAGTGGAGGGGGACAATGAGGTTGTGTCAAATCATGTCATTCCTGTGCACACTCTTACTCTTTCAGGGAAACCCAAGTCCCCAAAGCTGAAATGCACTTACTGTGACAAGGCCTTTACCAAAAACTTTGACCTGCAACAGCACATCAGAAGGTAAGGGTGATGCTAGCCTGAGCACAGTGGGGTGGCTGGAGTGGGTCTGGGCACAGCCCTGCTGAGGGAGTCCGCATAGCCCAATAAACCTCATGTTTGTCATGTCTCCCAGAATCCATGCTCTAATGACTTTGAGCTTCATCCCTCACCCTCTAGGGCTTCTCTACAGGAGCGTAATTTAGCGGCTGAAGTGAAGGCTGCACCAAAGTTACAGTCTTCTTTCTGCTAATGGGCTGAGATTGGAGACCTTTCCTAACTGATGAGACCCTGAAAGCCACCTGTTTTCTGTTATCTCCACTGCTTCCTTCAATCCTTTTTCTGCCTCCTTAGTAAGCTGCAGCTTGCATGTTTTGCAGGAAGGCTGGAATCAGCAAACCACAAGCTAAGCTCAGTGTCTACATGGGGAGCTTTTATGAAAGCCAGAGCTCTGGCAGGAGGTAGTTGAGATCTTCAGCATTTTCTCCATTGGGATATGATGAGCTCAGGACAGATGAGGAGCAAATGGTGGTTTGCTCGCCTTCCCATCCTGGGCTCTTTATCTTACATACTCCATGTGTCAAAGCCAGCTTTTTCCTCTGGCAGCAGAGGAGCAAAGTAGAAGGGGATTTCTGCTGTGGATAGGGGAGAGCAAGTCTGGGGAGATCAGGGTACTGCAGGGTAGAAGTCACATGTATGCAGGGAGGGTAATGACAGAGAATCTTTATTTATCTTTACTTGTGAGAAGAACACTGGGGTCTCAGAAGTCCATGCAGAAACTCTAACAGTGAATGACCTGCAGAGCTCTTCATTTGATCCCTTGTCATTTCCACACTATCACAGTTTGTGTGCTGGGCTTGTTTCCTCAGGCCTTTTACCATTCCTATACTGTTAGGGTCTGAAAACCTGTTTGGCTGGTCTGGAGGCTGATCTGCCAAGCAGAGATGGTGTGGTGCAGCCCAGACCTGGGGATTGCCTCCTCTTTCCACTGACTACAGCTACAGTGCCTTCTGCATTCAGTCACACAGGTGAGAAGCCCTTCCAGTGCATCGTGTGCGGCCGAGCCTTCGCCCAGAAGTCCAATGTGAAGAAACACATGCAAACCCATAAAGTGTGGCCTCCAGGACTAGGATGCACCATCTCCCGCAACTCCATCACGGTGCAGGTCATGGCCTTGAACCCCAACCAGGCAGAGGATGAGGAGAACACAGGTTTGCTGCCTGGGGATGGTGTGTGCTAGGGGCAGAGCAGTGATGGGAGGGCATTTCTGCATCTCCTGATCCTCCACAGAGAAATGGGGAAGACAGGGGCTATGTGTGCCACTTGCAGTCCTGCTGTGGGATTTAATGGCATGCACTGGGGAAGTGCAGTGGATGCTTGAGTTGTGTTTGCTCCACTCTTGCTGACAGCTTCATCTGTTGGTACTCCCAGCCTCCGATTCAGGTGCTGGTGAAAACGGTGGCTCTGTGTCAGGATGTGTATAGGAACAGGGAGAGAGATCTTTCCCTTTCTCACTCCTGACAGGTGCACCTTGGGCAGTACCTGAACCACACTTGGTAGCTCTGGTCTAGGCTGGAGATTTAGCACAGCCTGGTGCTCTTTGCCTGCTGGCAATATGCAAATTGCCTGGACTGGTCTGGTCCCGGTGGCCAACTGAAAATACTTGATGCAAAGGAGAGCTCCTGGCTGGTTGGTGGTGTCTGCTCTTTCTGCTGATGACCTTGGTCACGGGTAGAAGCAGAAGAAACAGCACTATGGCAATGTCATACCTAGGACACGGTTCAGCTGCAGCTGGTCTCTGCAGACAGCAGGACTGCTACTGGCTGGATCTGACCACCTGTCTCCTGCTGGGCATTTGAACAAATTTGGCACTAGTTCCCCCTTGGCAGCCTGCCATACTCACAGGGCACAGTTATGTTCCTGGAAGCACAATGGTAAAGAGAATGGGTCAAGGAGGGGAAGCTGGAGTAGTCAGAGCTTTTGGTCGTCTGCAGACAAACTTATAACTATGCCATTAGAAAGTGAGTTTCTGATCTAAAAATCTGCCTTTGAAAGGCAGAGCCCGGATTCAGACCAAGCCTGGGTATCTCTCAGCAGCACGAAGTTTGCAGAGCAGCTTTCAGAGCTGTTTTGTAGAGGCTGTGATTTTCTCTCTCCCTTCTCTCCAGGTTTGACTCAACCCTCTAGGAACCCAGCACAACCTCCCCAAGACATGAGCCCCATGGAGGAGAGCGATGCTGGCAAACTGGAAGCCAAGCAGGTTGTCTTGATCGACAGCTCTTACCAGTGCCAGTTCTGTCCCAGCAAATTCAACACCTATTTCCAGCTCAAATCACACATGACACAGCACAAGAATGAACAGGTAGGGACAGAGGGTGCCATGTGTCTGTGGTGAGATTGAGACAGGTAAGTTCTTGCCATTCGGCTTAGCGCTTTGCATATCTGGGTTGCAGCTGTGTGTTCTGGGTGGCTTTGAAAAGCTCTGCTGCCCCTGTCCTGCTGAGCCACTGGTGAAAAATCAGTCAAGCAGGTTTGAGTGACTAGAGAACAAGAAAAAAGGCAAAATCCAAAGTTTTCAGAGTAGGTGGCAGCTCTTGCACTGTAGGATGGTCGCTGCTGGGGCACTGTGGTCTCACTCCCTCAGGTGGTTTCATGTGCTCACAGAAACATCTCCTTCTCCCATCTTGCTTTCTTGTTTTCTTAGGGGAATGCCCTGGCAATCTGTGTGGGCAGAGCAACTATCATGTGGAAGTTGAATAGGTTTAGCCAGCCCTCAAGAAATGAGAGAGCTGAGGGCTAGAAGGGTTCACCTTTTGCAGCTGATCATACCCCAGGGATGGAAATGGAAAGAGAGCAAGACCTGCCTGTGGATTGTGCTTAACTTGCATGACCTCTGCAGCTGTTGACCAGCAGCTGAAGTGGCTCTGAGGGTCAAGGAAGGGTTATGTGGGGCCAGCTGTGTGCGGTGGGGTCCTTCCTTGGGTGATCTTTGGGTATCAGTTCAATGGCTGTTGTGCTGCAGGAGTGTAATTTTGGTTCCTGTTTAGTTCCCAGCAGGTTCTGCCATTGTCTTCATCACAGTTGTCAGCTACGTTTTGATGCTGAGCTGCCCTGCGCTGTTATTGCCATCAGGGAAGTGTTTTGCTTGGTTTGGTTTATCACCGTGTTGTGCTCCTGCTGCAGGGCAGGGTTTCCTTGCTATGCCCTGACTGAGTGCTCTTGGCCTCACGGGCAGTGTGTGGGCATGGTCTGTGCTCTGGGAACCTGGTGCAACCTAGTGCAGAGAACCTCAGTTCCTCTTCAGGCAGTGGTTGTGTTCTATGAAATACCCAGCTGCTGTGATTTCCAAACAGGAGATTTCTCTGCCTGTTACAGAGGACTTGCCCTGTGTGTTTCCTGCCCTGCATGCCTTTCCACTTCCCCTCTCACTTCTTCACCCAGGTGTACAAGTGTGTGGTGAAAAGCTGCGCTCAGACCTTCCAGAAGCTGGAATCTTTCCTCGACCACATCAAGAGCCATCAGGAGGAGCTGAGTTATCGCTGCCACCTCTGCAGCAAGGACTTCCCCTCCCTGTATGAGCTGGGCGTCCACCAGTACTCGCACAGCCTGCTGCCCCAGCACAGCCCCAAGAAGGACGTGGCTGTATACAAGTACAGTAGCAAACAGTGCTCACGAGGCTTGTAGGAGTGGGTGTGTGCAGAGGGTGTCTGGTTGAGAGCAGGGGAAACATAAGATTAAGGTGAGGAGGCTGCTTGTTCAGCAGCCATAATTCTCCTGGACACGCAAAAGGTAGATGGGGGCCTCTCCAGCAGGCTATTTGAGCCAAGCATTTTGAACGCAAGGGCCCTTTCAGGAGGACTGCCATTAGTTCTTTAGGAAGATCCCATCGCTGCAAGAGCTCTTATCATCAGTCGGGAGTGAGGTGAGCGTAGCTGAGCCTGCTCCAGGTTGGGCAAGCGACCCTGGGAAGCCCCTTCCAGCTTGATTCTTTAAAAACCTGCAGCAAGGAGAGTGTGCTCTGCAGAAGCTGTGCCTGGGTAAAATGAGTTATTACTTCTATTCTTGTGCTGTGAAAGGGCATACTACCTGGAGAAGCCTTTCTGTAAGTACAGAGGGAAAGGGTGAGGGAGTTCACAGCTCTCTGGGGATGTTGAAATGCCCATAGGGATATACAGGGAGAGCAGGAAGCCCAGAGGATATTGAAAGTCACTTAGGACCCTAGTGGAATAAATAGCTACTGCTAATGACTCCATACTTTCTAGCCATTCTTGTGCCTGGGGCTTCATCCTAAGGCTTATTGGCAGAGATCTTTGAGGTCAGAGCTCTGCTTATGTTTGTGGAGGTTTTAGTCTGCTAAAGTAAACAGAAGTTTCCCTGCAGATGCATGGTGTGTGTTTGTTCCTCGCTGATGATGCATGTCCCCATCACGCATTACCAGTCAGCTCTGACACGGGTCTCAGAAATACTGCCAGGGTTTGTGAGAATTGATGGGTCAGGTGGAGTGAGCTCAGGTGTTGCAGGAGAGGAGTCGGAGTGAGCTGAAGCTTTGTTAGATGCTGGGGACCCCACAGTGAAGCATGTCACCTTGTGGCTGCTTCAGCCAAGGGAAATACTGCTGTGCTGTGCTCAGCTTCTTCACTTGCATGAAGAAGGAAGGAGATGTTTTATGTGGGGTGAGATCTTAGTTGTCTCCATGAAGAGATGGTGTGGAATATGTGCTCTGGTCCTTGGGTGCTCCCATGGGAGTTTGTGTAGAAGAGCAGTAGTAATTGAAAGGTTTCTTCACCCAGTTTTCCAGCGTCTTCTCCTGGTGAAGGATGTTGAGTTTGTGTGTGTGATCTGGCCATGTGGGTTGCTGAGGTTTCAGAACACCTAGGGGATGGTGTTAATGTCTGTACCAAACTGACCCTGCCAAAAATCAACGCAGAAGGTGGCTGGTGAAGGGCTGGGCTGCCCTGTTGAGGTCTGCATGCAGTGATAGACCTGTTCACAAGCTCTGTCCTTTCTCTCTGCATTCAGATGTGTGAAGTGTGTAAACAAGTACTCCACTCCTGAAGCCCTGGAGCACCATCTGCAGACAGCAACGCACAACTTCCCCTGCCCTCACTGCCAGAAGGTGAGTGGGTGACTGCTGTCAGTCCTGGCTTTGATGGCACAAGACCCCTTTGATCCCTTTTCTCTCCCTTCTACCTCAGTATGGACTGGCAGGCTCACAAGGTGCTTTTCAGAGAGGCAGAGGTGGTTACATCCCTGACCTCGTGCAGAGTGCATTCCTCCCCACAGTGCTGGCTTTTCTCCCTGGTCCTCATTTGCTGACCTAATGAAGAGAATTTGTAAGGGAGTCCCCTTATTCCCATGACAATGCAGAGCTGCACGCTTTAGGCTGCAGTCTTTGTTTCTTAAAAGTAAGTGTGTCAGTGAAGTCAGGGATGTCTCTGAGTAGTGGTGGTGCCTTTGAGCCACCATGCTTGTCTGCCCATGGCTGGAAGAGTTGTGAACAGAAACCCTTGGGTCCCGGGGGAGCTCTGACACCTACGTTGCTGTCCTCATCTCTTGTTGCAACAGAACTCTCTGGGTTCCCCCTTGGTCTCACCTTTTGGATGAGTGCTCTGTGTCCTGGCAAAGAGAAACCTTTCAGAATGATGTGACTGGGACCGGCATGATGCACGGGTAGGTTTTGGCTGGAAGTGTTCATTTCAGCATGGCCCTGAAAGGGGCTCGATGGGCAAATTTTTATGGTGTTTGAATTTTTATAAATAAGTTTTTGAAATCCAGACTGAAATGCTCCTCAGTTTAAAGCAGAGGAAATGAAAGTCCTGCAGTGGGGGCAGGGACAATCTCAAAGGAGTGACCACTCTGTACTGAGGTAGTTCAGGAAGGGAATACGTGCTCCTGGCATGGTTAGTAACCCGTGTTTCTTTACCTGCCTTCTCTCCACCCTCACTCCAAGTGACAGATGCCTTTCTGAGCCTGGATGGGACTTTGCATGCCTCATGCATGTTTGAAAACCCATTATCTGCAGCATGATTTTTAACTTCTATTTGTATTTTTGCTAATATTGCTGTTTTCTGGAGGTCTGGGTACTGAGTACTGGGTATCAAACATCTAGGCTCTCCTTTGCTCCCCCTGGATGTGTTCTTGCAGAATCCTCATTAGGAACTCAGCCTGAATGTTTCCAATGTCCTCATTACACGAAGGGAAGCATTCATATTGACTTTATAAAGACCATGAGTGGGAGTTCTTGATAATAGGTAACAGGGAGCAAAAACTAAAATCAACAGTATGGGAATGTAGGAACTGCTGGGCAGGGGGAAGGTGTCATGGTCCTGCTGCTGGCAGGAAGCTGAGCATCTGTCTAGGGTGCTGGTCCTCAGCAGAATGGTGTCAGAAAATTTAGCAGTAATGTTTCAGCTCGTATGTTTCTTAAGGGTAAGGGTTTGTTTCGTTGAATGCTTTATCAGCTCTGTGTGTATCTGCCCTCTACAAAAACTAAAGGTCCTTTCAGCGCTTCCTTTCCAAGAAAGCGATCACTGAGCTCGTGCTTTTTATACAGCCTACAAGTCCTTTGCCCCTTCAGCTCAGCGATGTCCCCTAGTGCTGCTGACTCAGCCTGGTTTCTGTGTGCTGACAGGTGTTCCCCTGTGAGAGGTACCTGCGCCGCCACATCCCCACCCACGGCGGAGGCAGCAAGTTCAAGTGCCAGATCTGCAAGAAGTTCTTTCGCCGGGAGCACTACCTCAAGCTGCATGCCCACATCCATTCAGGTACGGGGCTCTGCTGGCGCTGCAGCGTTCAGTGGCTCTGCATCGTGGTCCTTGCTGAGCCCTGTGGTGCTCTGGATATTTTCCTGATATCGGGAGGAGCAGCGTAGGAGTTATTTGTGGTAACGTGGCTTTTAGGAAATGTGTGGTTTTCATTCAGTCTTGTGCCCAGTAGTGAACCAGTTGGAAGTGGAGCACAGAACTAGCTTCCCCACTGCCCAGGGCTGCAGAAGCTAAGGGAGCTGCCTTGGAGAGCTGCACACAGTAGGAATAGTATCCATCTATTTACCCACAGGGTGAGGAATCCTGGAGAGTTTATAAAGTAGAGCAACACTGCTGCCAGTGGGAATCCTGTCGTGACTAGAGCAGCCCCGTGTGACTGTGCTTTCCCTGTCTCTTCATTTCTTTCTCTTTTTTTTAATCCAGGTGAAAAGCCCTTTAAATGCTCGGTGTGTGATGCAGCTTTCAATCGGAAAGACAAACTCAAGAGGCACATGCTGATCCACGAACCTTTCAAGAAGTATAAATGTCCTTTTTCGTACGTAGCATCTCCGGCATTGCAGCTTGTCTTGTTGGCTTGTGGCATGGTTTGGAAAGGAAGGAACTTTCCTTGTACATAGCTAGGGAACATGTGGCATTTGACAGTTCTCTGCTGCTTGAGGAGGCGAGAATGCTGGGAACCCAGAAATGTTGGTTGTGTTTCACTTTCTGTGGGGCAACAAGTTCATCAAGTCCTCTAAAATAGTGCCTGCCTACATGGGAGGCTTGGGAGATTGCACTCACAGAGCACTGGGGAAGAGAAAGAATATAATTTGAGCACAAAGCACAGGATTGCTTGAGTGTTGGGGTCTCCCCGGCTGCACTTAGAAGCAGAGGAACCAGTGTACAAACCAAAGAAATCTAGATTTAGGAGGTGCATCCCCAAATCTTTGTCATTTCTGAGATAGTCGAGACTGACTTAGAATCATAGAGTCGCAAGGTTGGAAACGACTTGTCCCTGCTCCAACCACCCTGTGGCCCCTTCCAGAGTATTTCTGACTGCCACTGGAACCTTGAACCTGCTGTTGTTAGCAGAATTTATGGTGATGCAAAGGCGGCATTTGGTCCAGCAAAAGCCATGTGACCTGATAGCAGCCTGTTTATTTCTTGCCCCCCTCCAGAAAGGCTGAAATAGTGGGGCTCCAACTGTAACCATACTCAGGGACACATCCAGTTTCTGATAGGGAGAAGGGCGATGGCTCTCTCTCCAGTTTATGCATCAATCTTCAGCTGCTTCATGCTGTTCACCAGCATTTGTTGTTCTTACAGAAGCCACACAGGCTGCAATAAAGAGTTCAACAGGCCTGACAAGCTGAAAGCTCACATACTGTCCCATTCAGGTAAGTGCAAAAATGATGCTCCAGATCCTAATAAAGTTGATTCATTTACTATTGTGCCCTAGGAAACCTTTTTTGTTGTTCTTGTTTTGGGTTTTTTTTGCTTTGTTTTCTGTCAATGTAAAAAGTGTTTTCCTATGCCTTTCACATCCAAAGCGCTGCAAATGGTGATCAGCTGAGACTGTGCTGATGGTGCAGTCTGTGACATTTTTAGATTACATTTAGGAGAAAAAAAATGGGAGTGTAAGGCTGTTCTGTGTTTTCATCACGACCACCTGACACATTTTTTTTCCTAGTGATATTTTAAACCTCTCACTCGAGGCAAGAACCGTTACTGTAAACATTCCGAGCAACGATGTTTGAGGTGTAGCAGTTCATCCTTCTCTGATAGCAAATTTGCCTGGCACGATGTCTGTTAGACAACTCCTTTGGTTGTTCTAATAAGCAAGCTGAAAAGAATGGGGTTGTTGAGTGAGAAGGTGGCTGTTTCAAACTTTTATCAGAGAACGCCTGCGTGGGGGAGGAGGTAAAGCTATCACGCTTTCCCTTTGCAGTGTAGGTTTTCCTGCACTCTCTAACTGAGCTCTCTCCTCCCATGCTGTGTGCAGGGATGAAGATCCACAAGTGCCAGTACTGTAACAAGTCCTTCAGCCGACGAGCCCACATGATGGAGCATCAGCGCTCGCACACCGGCAACTACAAATACCGCTGCCCCACCTGCAGCAAAGGCTTCACACGCCACAAGTACATGAAGGACCACAAGTGCCGCCTGGGCTCCCCCAAGGACAAAGACCTGCAGCTCAGGAAGCCCCAGAAGAGACGGGTGGTGCAGGGACGCAAAGCGGGCCTTTCCCTTCCCAACCAGCTGCCTCTGGGAGAGCTGAAGGACGGCGCTGCTGGGGAAGACGTCCCTAACAAAGAGCCATTCCAGGAGTCAGATGCTGTCCTGTCCATTGTGGTTGGTGGGTCAGGAGCTGCCGACTCGGACCTTGTCGTTCCTGGGCAGCCCAGCAGTATTGCATCCAATTTGTCCTTGGCAGAACTGCAGGCTGCCTCGGATGGCCCCTGCACCATGCTGGCTGTCCCCGTTTACATCCAGACTGAGTGATCGTATGTAGAGCCACTGTGTGGCTTGGGGCTGCTGCTGGGATCGTCAGACTTGGTGCTGAAATTTATTCTGGTGAAAAAGACCAAAGCTCTTGTGGGGAGTAGATGGATATGGGAGAGAATGGCTTTCATTTCCAATTGATCTTCCCATCCATGGGCGAAGGACTTTTTGGAAGCCACTGATGGCTACAAGGCACTGAAGAGAATGGCTCCGTTTTTTTCTTGTCCCTCTGCATGGCTGGTCAGTTAAGGGCAAGAAAGACTAAGATCCCTGAATCAGGGTGAGAAGGAGGAGCATATAAACTTGCAACAAACAGAGCTGCTGAAGTCAGGTGGCTTTGCAAATCACAGCCCGTCCCATCTGTGGTTTTTCTGGCCTAAAAGCTGTATTGCCCAGTATTTGGGTGCCCTTTTCGAGAGCAAACAAATGATTCTTCCTAGTGGAAGCAAGTTCGTTGTGAGACCCTTTGGGAACACTGTTCAGAAATACTCTGATAGACTTTTCTGGTATCTTTCTCTGCTCTTATCAGTAAAAAGAACACCTTGTCTATACTACATGTGTTGTAAACTGTGTGGAGTCAGTGGGTGGGAGCAGCTGGGTGTGCACACGTGTGTTAGCTCCTTTCTGCTTGATGTCCCTTTCATGGTGTTCTTCTCACATTGTTCTCCATATCTAAGAATCTCCAAGTGCCTTGGGTATCAGTGGGTCAGTCCTTTAACAGTTAAATGTGACACCTATGTACAATGAGAGAAACTTAGGCCTGGGTGAGGTCTCCTGCCCAGGGTCACACGGGGAAACCTATGATACATCTATGGCCCAGTTTTCTAGCATCTGCTCTGGGCTAAGTGCTGCAGGATACTTCTGTGCACTTCTCCTGTTGCTTCCCAGTCTGTATGTGCCCTTAGCTCAGTTTTATGTGTCAGTTAATAATTTCAGTTGATCATTGACAGGTGGGAAGTCAGTGTGATCCAGGAGCAAGGAAATCCTGCTAGTAGAGTGTTTTCTGTCATCCAGTTGGATTCTCCTGTCTGATTTCCCAAGTAAAAGATTCAAAGCTGATAGGGCAGCACCAAACCAGGGCACCTAATGAGAGGGAACTGAAAATTACCATTGTGTAATGTTGGGAGAGGAGCTGTGTGGACAGATGCGGGGCCCAAAGTAGGTAGGAGAGAAGTCAAGTGTGCTGCTGCCTTCTGCTCTGGCCTTATGGGTCCCTCTTCGTTCACAAACCACGTTGCCTTCAGTTTTGTGCTGCCATCCAATGGTCCTGCTTGTTGAAGAAGGCAGCTGGACTCTGGAGAATATCCCTGCTGCTTCCAGGTCCACCTGGGACACGCTGTCTCCATACTCTGCTCTCCACTGTTGTTCTTTTGTTTGTTTGTTTTTTCTTTCTCTTTATGGGTAAGCTGAGTAAATTTTGGTAATTTTTTTGTGATTAACTGCTACTTTATAGGTGTGAAAACACTGCATTTCCAGCCTAGGGGTGATGTGGGGCAGAGCATGAATTCACTGGGAGCTGACAGCCTGGCTGTGAAGTCCCTGCCTCACCTGCTGCTTCCAAATGGATTTTTGGCCACCAGAGCAGTCAACCCAGTGTCACTGGTCTGACTGGTCTCACCATGGTGCCTGGCTGCTGCCTGCCTGAGCTCCAGGCACTCCTCCTGTTTCTTTGCAAAGACTCTGAAAATTGAGGTTTGCAGGAGTGTAGAGGAGATGGAGCTGCACTCTTCAGGGGTGCGCAGCAGCAGGGCAGGAAGCTACAGAGATGTGCTGGAAATTCTGACTCAGCGTAGAGGGATTTCATCCAAGAGGGTGGTCAGACACTGGAAAAAGGTTGTGGAGAGGCAGTGGGGTGTCAGTACTGGGTTGTACTCAAAGCTCAACAAGGCCCTGAGGATCCTGCTCTGAGTGGGCATGACTGGGAGCTAGGGCAAGTGCTTCTGTGCATCTGGGACATCTTTCTTCTGTTGAAAAGGGCAGAGGTTATTTGCCCATAATGTTTTAAATACAGTTCTTGCAGGAGAGGAAACAGATTGCTAAATATGCTGTTCCTATTTTGCTGCTCTCTTTACCCACAGTGTACGGTGTCATTATGTGGCTCCGGGTGCTGGCTGCAATGCTGCACTCAGGTCTATTTTGAGACGACAACGTGTGGTGCAGCTCTCCTCCAGCTTGGAGGGCAGTCTGGTGGAATGGCCGTTCCTTTCTGGGCCCTGCCCTTTGTTTGAAAAGCAGAAAAAAATAAAGAAGCAGTTATTTAAAAGAACATCAAGAAGAAAAAAAAAGATTCAATTTTGACATAGAAAAATCTTGTGGGAAAGAGAACTGAATCAGGAAAAAGTAGATGCTGTCGTTGAGACATTGAGAGTGATGTGCAGATCTGTTCTGTGTGTGCAAAACAGCTGTGCCTGGAAGGAGGCTCCTCACGGCATGCCAGGAGCTCTGGAAACTCTGTTTCTTGCTGTTCCGTCCATCTTTATGAGCTTCACTGAAGCTTTGGTCAGTTAGGATGTGCACATGCTGTTCTATTTCCTGTGGGCCAAACTGGAAGAATTTCACCCAGGAACTGCATCTCTGCTTCTGCAGCATGTGCTGAGGAGGAGCAGAGCTGCTGGGCTGTACGCCTGTGTGCTCTGAGCACCGACAGCCGGATACTTCTCCACAGGGCTGGCTCTGCTGGGGGCACAAATCTGTTGCCAGAAGCCTCTTAGCATTTTCTGGAGGTTTCCAGGCAGGCTGGCTGCCTGCTCTGGAAGATCTGGAGCTCATGCTGGATCAGAACAAATGTCTCTGGTACTCAGCATTCACCTCTGGCAGCAGATCTTAGAGTCATAAAGATGGGTAGAAGGCTGTGTCTGCACTCTGACATTCTGATATCTCCCTCTGAGGGACTTTCTACCCTGGGAGTGATTTCTGTAAACCTTGGATTTTTCTTCTCTATATTTCTTTGTCTTTCTTCCGTGTTTGTCATGACAAAGCTAACAAGCTAGAGTGAAGCAGGATCTGCTAGAAGGCATTGTTGGTGAACTTCTGCAGATGGATTTTCTCATTGAACTGCTCCTGTCCTGCAGACTGTGCAGGAGGCAGTGCTGTGCTCACTGCATGGCAGTTAGCTGTGTCATCCGGCCCCTAAACCTGCGGGGGTGCAAAGCAGGGAGATGGGCACAAAAATGATCTGAGGAATGGAACACCAACCATATGAGCACAGGCTGAGAGAGCTGGGGCTGTGCAGCTTAGAGAAGACTCCAGGGAGAGCTGAGAGTGGCCTGTCAGTGTCTAAAGGGGCTGTAAGAAAGAAGGGAACAGGCTCTTGAGCATGGTCTGTCATGATGGGAGAAGTGGAAATGGCTTAAAACTAAAAAGGAGATATTGGATGTAGGGAAGTTTCTAGGAGTGCAGTGAGGCACTGGCACAGGCTGCCCAGAGGGGTGGTGGTGCCCCATGCCTGCAGACACCCAAGGTCAGAATGGGGGGTTCTGAGCACTGATGGAGCTGTGGGCGTCTCTGTTGAGGAGGGGGGGTTGCACCACGGGGTCTTAAAGTGCCCGACTCTATGGCTCTTTTCTGTGTTTCCAAGGCTGCCTCAGCCGCGGTTACGCCCGGCTCCATCTCTCCAGAACGGGGCAGCCGCCCGCGGCCTCCGCCCGCCCCACCTCCTGCTCCTTCTAGGTCGCCATGGCGACCGCCCATCCGCTGACGTCACCGCGCGCCAACGTCACTCGCTATATGACGCCACTTCCGGGTTCCGCCCGGCCGCCCGCTGCTCCCCGCCTTTCCCGCCGTGCTCCGCGCCCCGCACTACATTTCCCAGCATGCTTTTCGCGCGGCCGCCGCTTGGCGGAGCGACGCTAAGCCGCGGGGTACGCTGGGAGGTGTATGCGTCACGGGGTCGGCCGCGGTGGGGCGGAGAGCCGGGGCGGGGTGCGGGCCGGAGCGAGCGGCCGGTGGCAGCGGAGCGGTCCGGGCGTCGTGGGGCTCTTCAGACCGGCGGGCGGACAGAGGGCCGGGCCGCCCGAGGGGCACGCAGCGACGGGAACGAAGCGAGGGAAGCGCCGCAAGCGCTCCGCAGCCGCCATCGCCTCGTAGCGCGGCCCGGCAAGGCGCAGCCATGTCGGGGCTCCTGGGGAAGCTGTTTGGGGCCGGCGCCGGCGGGAAGGGCGCGGGAAAGGGCCCGTCTCCTCAGGAGGCCATCCAGCGGCTGCGGGATACGGAGGAGATGCTGAGCAAGAAGCAGGAGTTCCTGGAGAAGAAGATCGAACAGGAGCTGGCGGCGGCACGCAAACACGGCACCAAGAACAAGCGCGGTGAGGGCGGGGTGCGGGGCTCCGGGCGGAGCCGCAGGACGGCCGTGCTGGGTGGGAGGGAGAACTTATCGGAAGGAGCAGCGATGTGGTGACGCGGCTGCCCGGGGTGGGGCAGCCACCGTCCGCGGAGGTGTTGAGAACCGTGGGGATTTGGCAGTGAGGGTCGGTGGGTTGGGAGGCGTTTGGCTCGGTGATCATTTTCTAGCCTTAATAGTTCTGTTCTGTGAGTCCGTATGTTTGCCCGCGCCACTACTCGCCTGTTGCACGGCCGTGGTGAACGCACCGCGTTGCGGGAGGCTGGTTGGGGTTGCGGTGTTGGCGTTGCCCTTCTGGGCGGTGTCAGAGCAGGAGGACGGAAGGCAACAGCGATGTGATGCAGCAGGGCTGGGTCAGTGCGTGGCCGAACCTCCAGCCGGGCCACCTAACAGGTTCTTCCTGGAGCTCCTTCCTGTTGTTCGGCCGGCGGTTGAGCCTTCTCTGCAGCTCCAGGGCTTCTCGGTGGTGGCACAGTGGAGCAGGGCTGTATCTGGCCCCTCTGCTCCCAGGGTTGGTCCTTCTGAGGAGTTCTGTGAACTCCACTGCCAGTTCCTCCATCCAATTGTAATGTATTGCAACGGATGTAATAAGACAGAGTTTCTTGTGGTGTTAGTTTGGTAGTGAGCTGGAAAGAACTAAAACACGCATCCTTTGTAGTCATCTACATTTTCTGTATCCTCTTTCAGTGATCCCATGTAACTCGTATTTTCTCTATGTCTCGTCGCTTGCTGAGGTCCTCACCCTGTAGCACTGTAGGTTATCTGTCCCCACGGCTCTGCTCGTGCCCTGTTTTGTGCTGGAGGCATGGGAAGACAAGCTGCCCATTGAGTGCAGGATTTTGGGTCAGGTGAATCGAGGTCTCGAGTGGAACAGGATCCTGATGAGTAATTAAGGAGCTATGAAATTGAGAAGGGCTGGGGGTGGTGGTCTGGTGGAAAGTAAAATCCGTTTTATTTTATTTTATTTTTTTTTTTTAAGAGGTTTTCTGGGCAACTTTATGCTTGGGCTGCTGGGAAGGGCAGCTGGTATCTGCTGGAGCAGCAGGGTGTTGTCCATCAACAGAATAGCACATGTTATGGTGCTGTGTTTATTTTTTTATATAGTTATGTAGGCTTATCCCTTCCTGACAGACATTGTCATTTGGTTGTTTAACAACAAAGTTATAAATGAGGGGGAAAATTTTAAAAAAAAACAAAAAACAAAAAAACACAACTGT